AATTATTATTATTATTATTATTATTATTATTATTATTATTATATTATTACAAATATATATAGGTATGTGTAGTGTTTTTCTTTTTTGGGTGGCCTTTTGTAAGGGAACCCTTTCCTGTTTCTTGGCCTTCCCCTCAGCTTTGTATATATGTTAAGTTTGTTGAGAAAATGATTAAAGAAAGATAAAGGTGGAAAGGATCGGACAGGAGATAATTTGAAAAATTAGACTTGTTTTGGTCACAGTTTGACTTTATATTTCAACCGATTCGATTTTAGGGGGTCTTAGTTTTCGTAACCTCGAAAACTAAGACGGGTCTTAGGTCGTAGGTCTTAGCTTTCGAGGGTCTTAGTTCTCGTAATAACCATTGTCTCTTGTTTGTGATTGCAACAAGTACTTCACTGTTCGTATTCGATAACTTTGATTATCATACATTGGGTATACTATGAAAAATCTGTTCATCATGGTCTACTTTCCATCTTGTTCTTTCATAAGCAGCCATCCACTCCTATTTTTTCTTTGGTGTCCACTGGCTAATACGGGAATAATGGTTGAAGCCAGACAGCTTTACAAACAGACACTTTTACCAATTCCTGAGGGTATCCTTTTGCGAGAGAGTTGACTCTACTGAGTGTGTTCTTAATCACTATCCTCAGTTTATTAATGATTTATTATTAGGTATACTTTTTATATTCACATTCGCTTCTTTATACATTAAAAAAATTATTACCAGTTTTCTTTACTCCTTTTTGCTTTAATTTGCTTTTGTTTCTGGCATCAACATCATAATACATTACATAATGTGTACAGCAACTGTTGGTGATTTAGATTTCATGCAAGATGTGTCTGGAATTGAAAATTGTACTCTTAAAAGCATCACACTGGGTGACAAACTGTTTAAAAAAAGACAAAACAAAAAAAAAACTCTCATTCTGATATTTTGGTAATCTAAACAATGAATTACGTCAGAGAGAAGGACTTTTCAAATCAGTTTATAAAAGAACCTGCAGGACCATCTTCTCATTCATTGGTCGTCAACTGCAAACAAAAATAACTTAAAGAGGATAAAATCAAATAACAGGTCTGAAAATTAGGTACTTGGTCTGAGTTGAAATCATTCATGTTCTGGTTTATATTACAACTGTCAACTGTCTAAGGTTATCACAGTAAAACATAACCAACCAAAGATTTGGACTAACAATTTCTTTCTTGTTGGATATTAAAGTTTACAACAAAAGTAGTCTGAATGTTCTTGTAAAAGCAGCTTGGAGAACTCTGTATAAAAATTGTAATATTTTTCCTGTTCATAATAGCCTTGTTGTTAACATGTATAACTCAAGCAGTTGTTTATGAACACAGAAAGGTTATACAAAAAGATAAGCCAAAATGTCTGACATGAATATAATTTACTAGAGCTTTTATGAATAAGCATCCTTTACTCAAGAGTGTTTAAAAGAACAGTGAAGGGTGAATGGCTTCCAAAGATTGTACCAAGAGACATAAATCATTAGTACGGTTTAGTAAAAGTTAGAGTTTGAACCTTATTTTTTTTTCTATTTTTGTTTCAATGGGTATAATGCTAAAGCAAGTAAGTTCAAGTTACTCACCTTTAATGACAGCTTGTATTTTTTGTTCTGACAGTTTCATCTGACCACCATGGCATTCTTCGCTAAAGAAGAGTTAAGAAGAAAGATGATAACAAATTCTTTTGGAGGAAAGAGTTTAAATCTCAGAGGGCACAGTTTGTATGAATTTCCTGCAGCTGTGCTGAAATTGACTGAGTTGGAGAAACTTGACCTGTCATGGAATGAACTTACAACAATACCTGAAACTGTTGGAGGATTATTTGATCTTACCATACTTAAAGTGAATCTAAACCAGCTGTCCATATTCCCTGCAAGTTTGATACAGCTGAAGAAACTCAAATGGCTGTACATTTCATATAACAAACTAACCACCATCTCTGATGCTATTGGGGAGATGGTGGGACTGGAGGAACTGGTGCTGAGTTCCAACAGCTGACTGTGTCGAGTCCAGCTATAAAACAGCTGAGGAAACTCAAAGTGCTGGACATCTCACTTAACAAACTAACCACCATCCCTGGTGCTATTGGGGAGATGGTGGAACTGGAGGGACTGAAGCTGAGTTTCAACCAGTTGACTGTGTTGAGTCTAGCTATATTTAAACAGCTGAAGAAACTCAAACCTTTGTTTGTGGTGGGGAATTCTTTTACAGTTGAAGGGATAAGAAATGTTGTGGAGCTTCAGGATAAGATTGACTTTGTGATTTCAGATGTCCTAGGTGAGTAAAGGAAATTCCTCCTCACAATAATTTTGTAACACATCTGCATTTACTAAATTGCCTCTATTATGGTTGACTTAATTTCTATTATGGGTTATGCTGCCTGTTACTGATGATTACAGGCAGCTGACAATAGTTTTATAATAAAGCCTGAGAAGAATATGAAGTAAATACTGCAGTAAATGGCTTGAACCCGGAGGGTAACATGTGAAAGTGTAGTGGGATCGTCGGGGTGAGTGTAGTCCTGAGAAGGACTGTTGTCAGTGGTTAAGTGACTGACGTTTTGACAACCTGTGCAGAAGTCATTATCAGAGTCAAGTGAATAGTTGTTGTCAGTAGAATGTTCTTATTTCGGTTCGTGTAAAAATTATTGGTCAGTTTTGCCGTGATGTTATTGGCTGTAAGACTTTAGTGGCATAGGTCGGTCGTGATTGGTCTGTTTCGATCTGTCAGTAAAGTTGGGTCGCTCTATTCAGTTTGTTTGTAATGTTTATGTCGTGAATGAGTAGTTTGATTGGGAGCGGTTGTATTGCACTGTGCATAGGAATGAGTTCAGTTCCTTCGCGTTGCGAGGAGGCTCGGCCGCCTTGATAGCCTCAACCTTTCGCGGGTCAGGGGATGCTCCATCTTTAGAAAACCTCATCCGGTAATATACACAAGTGGGACACAAGTGCGGTATCATTCGGGACCATTCGGGACAGTGCCCGGTCCAACACTGAGAGAATATCGACCGGCAATAGAGCATTTTGATTGGTTGATTGTAGTTATTGGCCCTCTAACTGCCCGAGTCGTGTAATAAATGTCCTTACTGCTATCAATGGGAAGAGAAACTAAGTCGTGCATGCTCAGACCACGTGAAATCCACTTGCACACACGAGGACTGCTTCCACCTCATTGATGTAAATGAAGGCCTAGTAGCAATATGTAGGAGAAAACTTTGGGACAAGGTACTCCCCATCTTTGGATTGGATAAATGGTTCTGGAAAAGAGGAAGCCAGGTATGATCAATGCAAATGACATTTAAAGCGTAGATTTCTAGCCTCTGATTCATCTTTCAAGTTCTTTCGTATGTCTTACTTATCTGAAAATAAAATGAGCAGACATCGGTGTTGAGAAAGGTAGCCCTGATAGTTTGTTGCTACTTCCAAATATAAGTCAGAGAATCTCTATCAAGATGAAATTATTTTTGAAGTTTATACTTTTCTGTTTTCCTTGGTTAAGTATTAATCAACACACATTTATTTAATATTATGATCACACACATATGTTTTGCTATGTGATTGTCATAACTCTGTGCGACCGTTTTTCCTCAGGGTTTATCCTCTTCAAATGAAGCTGCTAGATCACGTGGCGAGACAAGAGAAGTTGGTCTAATAAAGTCTGACACGGCATTGAAGGTGACTGTCCTGGGCAGTGGGGGGAGTTCATCGATGGGAGGCTTGTCCACCATTAACAGACAGCATGCCATTCTGTTGGCTAAACATTCGCAAGTGGAAGTCACTCTGCTTGTTCCACAGTCTGCCTGTTCTGAAGGAGAGAGGAGAATGGCATCGAGTCACGATGTATCTTTAAGAGAGGCACAAAGACGTCCGGGCTATCCCGACCCCCTTGACTGGCTGAGTGCCCCACCGAGAGATCTGGCCATTGACATAGTACTTGGTCATGGAGCAAAACTTGGTAAACAAGCTCAATTTATCACAGAATCGCACCAGAGCAGTTGGATACAGGTAGAGCATACTCCACCTGAAGAACTTGGAATGCACAAAAACTATTCTATGGCCATTTGTAAAGGTGAAGAGAATACAACAGAAGTTGAGTTGTGTGAGTTGGCAGATGCCGTGGTAGCAGTTGGACCAAAGTTGACGAAAGCTTACTCTTCCTACCTGCGCTCATGTGAGAAGCACCAAGATATAATTCAACTGACGCCAAGCACTTTCAGTGAGTTTTCCGACGTAAAACAACCTACAGGTGACATGGAGAAGTTTGAGGTTTTAACAGTCGACCGTGGTGATCCAGAAGACTTTAGCCTGAAGGGCTACGATATCTCAGCCAGAGCTATAGTTGAACTGAACGAGAGATCTTATCATCTGATTTTCGTGGGTGCACCTGACGGGAAACAGGATGAGGTTGTAGCGAATTTACTGAAGAGTAGAATTGATAAAAGCCAGCTGACTGTGAGGAAGTTCGTACAGAGCAAAAAGAAATTGAAAAATTATTTTGTGAAGTTGTTCTTTGTATGATGCTCTCCAG